AAAACTCCAGAACTTTCAAACAAACCTGTGAATGATGCCAGTATGCTTGACTTTATCTGCTCTTCTCAAGTATTTCCTCTCCCGGGGAACACTTCAGGGGCGGACTATGGATTTATGAGAAGACGTTAGATGGTAATCTCAGTCCAGTCTGAAGTGAGGAGTGCAGCTGACTACGCAGCGACCCACAGATTTGGGCTGGAATGGTTAGATCTGCGACAGGAGGAGAGAAGGGTAGTAAGTCAACAGAGCCATATGAAATGTGACTCCATGTTCCTTTATTCATTTACAGCCTTCTCTTTGTGAATATCTATCTACTGCTTTTTCAGTATAGGATCAAGGTTGAAGTTATAAGGCAAAAACAATCAGTCTTCAAAGTCTCCTTCTTGTGTTTTAGGAATGACCTGTTCCTGGGCTTCCCTGAGAAAATAAAGCTCAGGTGCACATTTTGTCCAAGTAGCTCTTCAGTATTTGAGGAACCGTAAGAATAGGACTTTTTTTGTTTTTTTTTTGACAAAATGGGTAGTAGAACAAAGAGTAAAATTATGTTTGAAAATTATTATTTTAACTTCAAACTGCTGCTAAAGCTGGCAGATCAACTGATTGATTTTTGTCATGTTGCATGTACAGTTAGGTAATGTTTCCAGAATTCCCAAGTACTTGGAACACAGTCCAGGGACTAGATATAAATGAGTAAACAGCCATCAGAAAGTACATGCACTTTGTTCCTTAGGAGGTTTAAGTGCCTTCACACAGCCACTCAGCTGTGTATAAAATAAAGAGATTAAGCATACAGACCAGAGACACTGAGAGCAGACGGTAGGGTCTGCTCAGATGACCTAGAAGACAATACAACTGGCTAGAGCTATATATTTGACCCAGACAATAGCGCTGCTCGTTATTAACAATGATAAAATACTGTTGATTGTTTATTATGGTCTACTAGGCTCTATTCCATGTAGCAGGTATAAATATTGTCCCCAATTTACAGCTGAGGAAACTAGGACATAGACTAAGTAATCTGACATATAATAATTGACAAAAGCAAGCTCAAACCCACTTCTGTCAAAACTTTGTCTCAACTACTTCACTTTACTGCCCTTCCGATTTTTTGCTGATATATTTTTTAAACAAGACAAATCTATAATTCATGTTGCCGGATAAGGAGCAGAGAGAAACTATGTAATGGACATTTAAAATCTAATATGCCTAAATTTGTTGGTATTTAAAGAGTAAGCTTCAACTATCTAGAAATTTAACTTATATGTAAAAGACAATACCTTCCTTTATTCCCGTGTTGGTTCAATGAAGGTTTGATTGCCTATCTTTTATGTTTGCTTCCACTGTGTCTTACACGACCTATTTTACTCAAATCTCAGCCCCAGGATGATCAACTCATCACCATTTATTTACATGGGGCTTTTCCTAGTTTTAGCATCATAAGTCCAGCACCCCAAAAGACCCCTCAATCCCAGAAAAGTCAGCACAGTTGATGACTCTAGCTTCACAGCACATATATGTGCTTTAAGGTTGCTTTTGAATGAGTCATGGTTATAAATAGGATCTGACAGGTGAGAGTCCTCTCTTGGGGAGAAAGACAACTTGTTCAGTTTGTGTCTGTGGGAGCAGCTCAGGTGATGAGGAAACTTTTTCCTGAAACCTCATCTTGTTTTTAGTTTTCTGTCATTATTACACAGCTCTTTTGTATTTTGAATTAAAAATCTTTTTCAATGATGCTTCCACCCACTTCCCTAATCCTATCCCTTGCTACTATATGGAATGAACGGAATCCTTTCCCCATGTGGTGGCCCATTAAATATTTAAAGAATTTGTGTGCCACAATATTTTCATATTTCAACAACATATCTAACTTTTCACCATTTCCATTTTCTTTTACCATGATCACTCTCTTCTTGCATACAGTTCAGTTTGACCATATCCCTCTTACATTGTACTTTCTAGAATTCTAATCAGCAGAGTAGGGTGGATGTGTCACCTCCTTTGTTCTAGAATCTATGTTCCCTTTAATTCAGCTTAATACCTTAGTATTTTTCTTGGCAGTCATTAACTCAGAGTAAGATCCTATCTACTAAAACTTCCAAGAATTTCTCCTACATGCTTCTGCTTGGCTATATTGCTCATCCTGTACATGCAGTTATTCAGTCCTTTTTTTCTAGCTTGAAGTGCAAGATATTCAATTTAACTGTTAAACTTAATTTTCAACCCCCCTTTTTAAAAAAATCACCATTTGCAACATTGATTCACAGGTCTGCTGAGCATACTTTCATATCAATGATAGAACTGTTAAAAGGACAAGGCCTTCACTGAATATAAACAATCTTTCTTTGTTTATATTAATTTGATCATTAGTCTTCAGTTACAATAATTTAACTCATTTGTAGTTAACTTAATTTACTAATAACAATACATATTTTGTTCCATACAAGACCAATGTGATAGGAACATGAAGTCAGAAATAACAGAAAATGCTTTGTGACAATGAAGTATTTGCTACTCCTGTCAAAACTGTGGAATTGCTTTCTATGCCATGTTTTTGTTATTCTCCACTTTATTTATTGGGCTTGGCACAAAACACATTTTGGTTATTATGAAAGATCAAATCTTCTCTTCATGAACAAAAATTTGTCCTTGTTAAGGATGTTTAAAAAATATAGCACAGATTTCTCAGGTAAGTCCAAAAGAGGAGTTCCAAATAGGCTTAGGAGTAAGTATGCAGTCTTCCAAATTCATTCCTTTAAAGGGAAAGAGACAGTTTGAAAGTGCAAGTTTTGCCATGTTTGTTAAACTATCAGAGACAGTTTAAACTAGTCGTCAAATACATTAGCTTTGGCCTGGTTCAACACCCACCCAGTTTTCCCGCTTGCCAGCTGTTTGACTGGGCAGATATATCAATGCACAGGGCCTGGCATCCAGTGAGGGCTCTAAAAATAAGAGTAACTGCTATTTATTAAGCACCTTTTATGTTACCTACTACATAAAGTCCTCAACATGCAGTCTCATTTTTCCCTAAGAATGCTATGAAGTAGACACTTGTTATCCCCAAATCACAGAGAAGAAAATTGAAGGGTGGGAAGGTTAGGCAATTTGCTTAAGTTAATAATTGAAGAAAGGATATACGCCAAGTCTACCGACTCCACACCAGGATCCCAAACACAATTCTATCCTGCCAGTCCCTCAATACAGACAGAACTTCACTAGGCCTGATAACATTAGAAGTCTGAGTAGGAAGGAGACAGATCACCAGCCAGTCAGAGAGTTTCCTGGGGCCCCAAAAGGTTCTCATGGCATGGACTTACCTTGGTGATTCACCAGGATAAGGTTCTGGTCCTCTGCCCCATAGGCTTAGAAATCCAGTCTGTTCACACATAATTTGTGGATTCATCTCCCACAATGGACTCAAGCTCCCCTAGACTGGTATTCAAAACCAGAACACCAATTTATTCATAATGAAAATTGTGAATAGACATAGAAAGAAATAGAATGGCCACAGGCCAAAGTATTCATGTCCTGTGACCAGCACTTGAGAGTCAGATGGTAAGAGTAGGTTGCTTGCAGGCGAGGAATGAGAAACAAGGAAGTCTGTTTTGTGTCTTGAATGCTTGATAGGGGCAAACTCATCCAACTTCACAGCAGCCATTTACCTGCGTCCAGAGCTGAACAGGTCAGCGCAGCCTCTGCCCTAAACACACTGGGTTCCACTCACCAGCCCTGACTCTGAGACAATCTTTTTTTTTTAAGATTTTTATTGGGGAATTGGGAAAGAACAGTGTTGGGGAATGGGAGAAGGGGAACAGACAAGTTGCTGTCCTTTTGTTCTTCAGTCTAGCTGTGGAGGACCTCGCTTCAGTGGCCCATGTTGGTATTATTATCATTGCGCTCTTCCTGGGTGAGGCAGATTGGTCGCCAGCCACTGGACGGCCACTCACAGCGGCTCTTGGCAGCTCATGCCAGCTGCCGGCCGCTCACGCTGGCTTACGGCAGCCCACGGCAGCCTCACTGCAGCCTACGCCATCACCGGAGACTCAAGGCAGCCCAGCTCCATATCAAGCTGTTGTTCACCATCTTAGCTGTAGAGGGCGCAGCGTCACTGGCCCTCTATGTGGGATCCGAACCAGGGCCCTGCTGCTCAGAGCTGGTGTCCCAAGTCAACTCTTAACGAACTGTGCCACTCGACTGGCCTCGATTTTAAGGTTTAAATCTAAAAGGGCAGCTTTAATTCCAGATTCTTGGTGGGGAGACCTTCACCAAGGCCCCAAAGTACTGACAGTGGCAACAGGAGCTAAGACACCTGTGGTGGAAGCCGCCTTCTCCTAAGGTTTTGCTGGTTGGTTCTGCAGCTTCGGAATCAGAGACGGTTACCATCCCTTTTCACCCATCCACTGAAAACTTAAAGGTAACGAACAGTTTCTGCAGCTCCTGAAAAGACTACTGCTTGGAGAGAGTCACATGGCTCTGCAGACCCCTGGCTGTACCAGCTCAGGGGGAATGAGGCCCAGGGAATAAAGTGATGTCTTTCTTGGCTCTTCGCTGTAGGTCCTGGCAGCTACAGCAACAGCAGCAGTTCGTACTCTCAGGCAGAGCTTCCAGAATGCCTGGGAGTCTCCTGCTGATAACAGCACAGAATGCTTGGAACCAGTGAGAGAGAAGGTTGGAAGCCCTACCGGTTAGAGCAGCCAAGACTTAAGGTTCTGAGGGTATGCGCCCTCAGGACCTGTGGGTCCAGGGTAACTGCAGGGCTTAAAGTCCAGGATTAGCTGCCTCACTGCCTGATGTGCTATCGGACAACTGTGCACAGCAGAACACAGGGAAAGAAGGGTATGAACAACTCCTCTCCTGTCCTGTATCTTCAGGGGACAAAGAGAAGGAAGAGAGTGGTGAGGGAGCGCAAGTTTCCAGCTGCCACATTGAAAAGGCACAAGAGCTGAAGGCCCTGCCTTCCTACAATTCCCAGTTTCTTTCCTCAGAGCGGAACAAATCTCAAGTCGACCCAGGACTGCTGGTGCAGACACAGAACACTGGGGCGGCCTGGTCATATCCACAGCCTCTCCCTGGAGAGATCTCCAGGTGATGATGGGAGAGAGGGGGGTAGGACTGATCAGGGAAGTCAGGCGGCAGTTACTATCTTCACTGAAGGCCAAGCTGGGGACTACTAGACTGTCAAGCTCACTTACTCAACATATCACCTCTTATCACACCCTGCCTCTCCCCAACACGCATACATTAAAGCAAAGCTCCCACCAACATTCAGGGGTTAAAGAGGAGGAAGATTCAGCCCCTTTAAGACTCCAGATTGTTGCAAGAAGTTTGTTTTCTGAACATTCCCCACTGTGCACGCCCTTCTTAAGTGGCCCTACCCATTGAGGTGGATTCCAGATCTTTCTCCTGTATCTTTGGCTTGGCTCAAGCCTGGGACCCCTCCACTGCACTTCATAAGCAGAGAGATGGCCAAAATAGGCAGTCAGGGAAGAGCACGGGCATTCCTAGTACATCTGCTCAGTCTCTCAGCAGTCCCCATGTCAGGGAAGTTCTTGAGTTTACAGGCTTGGGCCAGAGTGTCTCCCATTCCTCTCACTGTGTGAGATGTGGAGCAAGGTCTCTCAGAGGCTGTCTGCCGAGAGCTGAAAGTTAGAAATGCTGCTGTAGAACATGGGTGTTTTCAGCAGCTCTGCTGTGCGTGCAATTCCTCTGGCTCAGTTTGAGCTAGGGTCTCAATGACAGTGATCCCAATATAACCTCTTGCCCTTTCTGTTGCTGTCATTGGCTTTCAGCAACTTGCCTCTCATGATTGCCAGAGGCAACTCCTATTGTTGTTGCGGTTGTTCCTTTTCACACTTAGAGAGCTGGCACACAGAGTTGAAAGACTTCCACAAAGCCAGGCTACCACTTCGGCAAGGCTTGCTTGACTGGTTAATTCTAAAACCTTTGTTGAGCAGTTGCATATGCAATATACCACTTGATGTTGTGGAGGGGAACAGAGATGAGTAAGAAAACGGTTTCTCAGGGCCAGCTGGGTAGCATAGTTGGTTAAGAGCACGAGCTCTGAGCAACAGGGTTGCCGGTTCGATTCCCACATGAGCCAGTGAGCTGCGCCCGAGCTGAGCTGCCAACAGGTGACAGGATGGCTCAGCTGGCAAGAGCACGTGCTCTTAACAACAAGGCTGCCGGTTTGACTCCCGCATGGGATGGTGGGCTATGCAACCCCCCGCAACTAGACTGAAAGCGGCGACTGGACTTAGAGGTGAGCTTGCTCCCTCCACAACTAAGATTGAAGGACAACAACTTGAATTGGAGCTGATTGGTCCTGGAAAAACAATGTTCACCTTCCCCAATTCCCCAAAAAAATCTTAAAAAAAAAAAAAAAGAAAACAGATTCTCTCCTCGAGGATGCAACAGTCTAATGGAGACCCAGGAGCAAACATAAATCATTGTGTTATAAAGTGGGGATAGAAGGTAGGTGGCAGTTACACTGTCCATTCCTAGAAACGCCAAAGGAGGGCACCTTCACCTGTCAGGCCACCAGGCAGATAGATGCCTGTCAATCTCCTGGGGTGGACTGATTCTGTTTTTGCTTAAGAAGCCAACACCAAGGTTAATAAAGCCAATTGTAACATGGTAAGTAAACCCCCTAAAAAGCTTCGTAATGCCCTATGTGCATACACAGGAGTTCGGTGTGCTAGCACTGTTTTTTAAACGGATCTTTTAAATTAATAAAATGGGCTGACCGCCATTCACTTCCTTTTCATAGCATGAGAATCAGAAGTCGCACTTCCCTTCCCTGTTCTTCAGGCCAACAATCATGAGAACAAACAGGATTCAGTACCAGGAATAACGCTGACTCATACGCTTAGGCTTTCTCTCCTTTTAGAACACACTGATTGAAGACTTGGAATGGGATGACATTCGTTCTCATAGGGAAACAGATAAAGCTGCCAAGGGAGGGAAGGTAGGGGGAACAGGGAAAATGAGGTGAAGGAACAGGAGGCAGCGGCTATCGTGCTGCTTTTGACCAAGTCTCTTCATCTCGGAGGAAAAGGCTGTTCTAGGAATATTATATTCCAGGCAGAATGGTGAGTATGTGAGGAAATCATATATATCCTAGGGGATGAGAATAAGTCTTGTGACATGAATAAATATCTGTGTGACCTGGTACCAGTCAAGATCCGTAGGTCTGGGATACTTAAAAACAAAATCAACGAGAGTATAGGCTCTAACACAGAATTAGTAGTAAAGAGAGGAGGAGAGGGAGCTTTTTCAAGGCAGGTATCTCAGTAGGTGCCATGAGTAATCTTAGGTTAAGAGGTGAGAACCTAAAACCTGGGAGATGGCTCAAGGTACATGAAAGATTTGTATGGTACAAGGACATCGTATCTTTCTGTCGGTGCATTTCAAAATAGTGACGTGAAGGAACAGTGGATACAGGGAGCTCCTACACTGGGCTCTCGGCTTTCTAGATAGAAGGAATAAAAAGGTCGTCTCATCCTCCAGTGAATCCTTAGAGCCACTGTTTGTGTCACTTCCTTTGCTGTCCTTTCTATATATAATTGTCGCTTGCCTTTACCTACTATTTAAATATTCATGTTCGTTTTTATATAAACTATCAACTACATAAGGGCAGTGATCATATCTTTATACAGACATATCTCGGAGGTATTGCAGGTTCGGGTTCAGACCACCACACTAAAGCAAGTACTGCAACAAAGAGAGTCAATCTTCTTCCTGGTGGAGGGTCTTGCCTTCAGTGTGTAAAGAATGCAATTATCACGTGGAGTATAGCGTGGGAGTGGAGTCAAGGGATTTGTAATAGATATGTATGATATTGGGGGGAAATGGGGCGGCGGATTGGGGGAGGGGGGTTGTCACTTTGAGGGGTAAAAAGTGTAACTATTGTACTGTGTTGTACAGCTGAAACTAATTTAAAAAAATGTGTATTTCATAAAAAAAAAATGCAATTATCTGTGGGGCGCAATAAAACGACGCGCAATAAAACGAGACATGCCTGTACCTTCAATGGCAACCAGCTCAGTGTCTTAGGAAATATTGTTTGATTTGATGTTATAGGAGAATTGGACTTCAAGGATCAGCAGCTGCAAGGGCTGGCAGTCCACAGATCTGGCCAAGAATTTCCATGAAGCAGGGCAATATTTGGCAACTACAAGGGCATTCCAGCAAAGTGAAGAGGAGTGTCAGGTTTTGCAACAGTTCTGCAAATAAGATAGATTTTTCTGGAGTGACTGGGTTTGCAGAAAAACGTGTTGAATAGCAAAAAGTAATCCGAATTCTCACCTTTAGAGAGATTATGCAAGATATAATCTCCACCAGATTCTAATAGTGATATTAATAAGTTTTCTTAGTGCTACACAGCGTTATGTGAGGTATTGTACATGCAGAATATTTTTTAAAGTTGCTATTACCATCCTTAAGCTTAAAAATCTCAATGGGAAGTCAATGTGTACATACACAAATGAATCAGAGGACAATATAACATTGAGTTACAAATTAAATATTACAACATTGCTGTTAGGGAAGGTGTCCTAAAGAAGGTGACCTTGAGATGGGTCTTGGGAGTCTCCCAATTTTTATCTGCTCCCCGGAAGCTTCACGAAGTCCTCTATCCTGTGGACATCTGAAATATAATAAAGTTTATTGTTTTAACGCCCCACCTATTAGTATTTCAAGATATCATTTCACATATCTGATGTAATAATGTGCTTACCTCTTAACCTCATACCCCTCTAGCTTTTGACCTTGACTCGATAACCCTAACTTGTAGATGAAGCGTCACTCCAATTCAAGGACTCCAATTTTTCCTGCTAGAAGAACACGAGGAGACTAGGTCATTTGTTCAGTTAGTCTCAAAGGTAATCAAGCTTTGGGGGTCCCTGCCCAGAACTAGATTTCTTGCTGGTAACTTCTGCTCCCATGAACAGTTGCAGGTCCCAAAACTATATCCTTGGGATCTCTGGTTTCTATGGTCAGGTTTTTTGTTTTTAGTAATAAAAGCTACTATTTATTGAACACATTTTAGACATAATGCTAAGTATTTTATATGCATCATCTCATTTAGTTTTCATAACATAGGATTATTACTTATCTCATTTACAACCCAAAACATTAAGACTCGGAAGAGCAGAATGGTTTGCCCGAGGCTACACGGTGAGCTGGGACTGGTACCCAGGCAGTGTGTCTAGAACCCATGCTTTAAGGCCAGGTTTTTTAATGCCAACTCCTCATATCTGAATCTGTTTACATTATCTAATGCCTGTTTAGATCAACACCCTGAATCTTGGATTCATTTTGGACTTTGACCATAGTGAAAACTTTCTGCATGGTCCTCAGGGGCCAGTTTTGGCACCAGGGTCACCGAGAAAGCGGTACACTAGTAACCTGAGGGTCTCTTATTTCAAATGTTTCTGGCTACGAGGCAAGAGCAAGTGAGAGAATGCAGCTCTGTTTTAGGCTCATAGTCATCAACTTGTTTGTGATCCAAACGGTAACCATAGATTTATGCTTTAAGGAGGGAGGCAATGACAGGGATATTTTGCAAAAAAGATTTCATACAGCATAAAAATGGATTAGGTAGCAAGGTGACCATCAAGACACAATATGCCTTAGCATTTATAGCGAATAAAATGAGATAATGTATGCAAGATACCAAACACAGTTCCTGGCACTCAACAAATCAGTTATCTTCTCTTTACATATAGACTTTACAGCTCATAACGTGCTTTTGCATATATGAAATTGTCTCTAAAATCTTTCTGAATTAAATATTTCTCCCAAAATAGCACATCTGAAGAGTTGCAGGGCTGAGAGTCAGACTCAGTTCTTCAGACACCAAAGCCAGTTCTCTTTCCCCCAAGCCCCAGGCCCCTCTTATTGTGTGTCCTAGATTTACGATTGTGAAGGCTTGGGTTAGAGTGCTAACAATGGGATGGAGATCAAAGAATGATCCGTGAACTTCTGTGTAGCTGAGCTTCTTATACTTAGGGCCTTATTACTCTAGACCTTTATTTGTTAAAACAAACCAAAGCAAAAACACCAATACTTTATCTATTCCAAGGTACATACGTGTATATTTTCTCATTTTAACATCTCTGAAATTCAGACAATTGATGGTGTTTTCTTTTTTTTATTTTTTATTTTTTTTATTTTTATTGTTAGTTTCAGGTGTACTGATGGTGTTTTCAGTTGTTTCCACTGCTCAGCTGTTGACGCAGTTACTATTGTCTGCTCATCTGCAAATGTGCTTGTTAGTCCTGGTGGCACGACTGGACAACTGAAACCTGTGAATGTTTCAGTCAAAAAATTTAAGCACCATCTACACGGGAAATATGAATCCTAGTTAATTCATATTGAAAACCTTCTCTTGTAACCTTCCGGGTAAGATCAGAAAAGCAGCAGCCTCAAAACTTGCAGAATGAATGTCAGGAGCTTGGAAGAAAATCTCAGAAAAGAATGGTGGTGCCCTCTTTAAGGACTGGTGCATCACCAGGGCTCTTGATGGCACAGAGGGTGATACTGGGTTGAAAAATGCAGGCATCAGTGGCTCAAGAGTTCAAAAGCGATTCAGAAGACAGACTCTGCATGTAAAGACACTTTGGACACTGCCATTGGTGGTGTCCTAGATCCTGTAAGAATGGTCTTATTTTATTTGTATAAATGCTTCATAGTTTATATAGTTAACTCATTTTGGTCATCACAGTAACCTTGTGATATCAGGAGCAAAATATTAGCCCAAATTTTGTCTATGGGAAAAAATAAGGCAGATTAAATAACCCACTCAAACAGCCATAGCATAAGGTCTCGGTCCTCTAGAATCCTTTTTTCTCGCTAAGATTTCAGGGCTTGTATTTTAGTGTTACTGTTTTGTTTTTTGGTTTTTTTAAAGGAGTAGATCTGGTGAAAATGAATATAGTAGTTCAGACTGAATATTGAAAATGCCTCCATTTTGGCAAGGATTGTCAGGGCTTTAACAATAATAAATCACTATTACAAACAGCCTAGTGCTGCGCTTAGCACATAAAAGATATTAAATAAATCACAGGAGTTGTATTACTCAGGGTTGTTAATGCTGGCTGTCCCTGCAGTCAAATCCTGAATTCTTAGTGCTTAACCAACAAAATTGGTATCTCATGCATGTCATATGTCTAGCGCAAGTTGGCAGGCAGTACAGGGTATAATGCTGTACTCCACACCTTCACTCAGTAGCCAAGATGATGCATGTCCTACCATTTTGTCACTGTACCGTGTGGGAGGTGTAACCTCTAAGGGTACTGTGTGGGGGAAGGAAGTGGGGAGGCACATCAGCTTATAACTTCCTCAGCTTGAAAGTAATGCAAGTCACTTCCTTCACAGGCCATCAGCCAGAAGTAATCATGTGACCCCAACCGAACTGAAGGGAGGCTGGGAAAAGCAGAGGAGCAATGGAATATTTGATGAGTACAGCTGTCCTATAATGATTTCCTTGAGGGCAAGAATCTATTTATAGATAGTCCCATACATCTCGAATAGTGTCTGGCTTATAGTCTTCACTAATAATTATTGAATCAATAAATGAATGAATGAATGGCATGTGAAGCTGGTTTTCCTTGTTTCAACTATGAATCTACTATGAAAAGTTGCTAGATAGAATGAGATACTCAAGCTCAAGTTAATATTTGAGAAACATCTAGAGTTTACGAGAAGATATTTTGGTAAAAATGTATTAGCAATTGGCCAACTCATTGTCAAATGTAATTAATTACATGAAATCATTTCTTTGGGAGCTTAACCATTTTTTAAAAAATTGATTACAATATGAGGAAACACAACACTCAACTCTAAAAGCCAATCTGGCTTCTGGTTTCACTTAAAATGAACACAGACTGCAATCTTCCTAGAAATGATTGCTTAAGAAGTTGAAAACACTTTTCCATGATGATAAGAATTTAGATTATGGTGATATGAAAAGGCAAGCAGTAGTCAGGCATGGAGAACTGTACAGTAAGGTCCCACCTGCGTGATCAGGAAGGCACAGAGAGTTCAACACTCGGTTCTCACAAAGGAATTTCCAAGTGATTATAAGATGCAATTCATTCATTCATTCATTCATTCATTCATTCAACAAATGTTTATTAAGCACCAAGTATGTGCAAAGCACAAATCTTGGTGCTAGAGATTCAGGTAGGATAATTCCTACCCTAAAAGAACTTAAGAGTCTAATAGGGAAGACAGGCACTTAACTATTGGGTTGTTGGAAAAGTCATGACATATTTTTTCTGTTTTTCGTTGCAAAAATGCATCGTGACTTTTCCGACAACCCAATATTATAAGCATGATATAGGTTGCAAAAAAGGAAGTACCCGATACTATGGTGTGGTGAACTGGGAGAATTCCTGGTTTTGAGCAGTAAGAAAGAGTCAGGGACGATCTCCTCAAGAAATTGATGTTTCAACTTAAATCCAAAGGATAAAAAAGAAAAGTGAGGGGAAATGAATTCTAGAGGACAAGCCAGTGAGGAGGGACTGGCTTGTCCTCCTCACAACCTGTACTATGGAGACACACAGGCTTACATGCTTAATTGCATGTACAGCTGGAGAAGCAGTAGAGGAAAGTGTTCAAAGGATATTGTTTCACAAGTGGTTTAATTAGTGCCATAGGCCATTTTCTGTACCTTTAGAGCTAAGGTAGGCTCTTTTCTGACCCAAATAGATCAGGCCATCACTCAGCCACAGAGCCCATCAGGCATATCAAACAGCCATGAACTAAATGATGAGACAGATATAAATCTAGTCTCTTTCACAGCATGCAGGATGAGAACTACAGAACCCTAAATGGCTTGCATGCAGGAAGAGGGCGGGGTGTAGTGGCAGAGGAGGAAGCATCATCGGTGAAAGCCAAGTGCTAAAAGCAGCTGCGTGTGACATTTCCATCAGCAGTCCTCCCTCCCTCATTGTGCATGAGACACGTCAGATGTTCTGGTTTATGATTTCAGCATCAGAGTACATACCCTTTGAGATGCAAGCTCATGTATCTCTTCCTGGCGTGGTGCCTGTTCATTAGCTGGACTCTAGAGCTCATCTGAGAGTGATAACCAAATGCTGAGAATATCGGGACCCCTCTCTCTCACCCTCAAGGAAGTATGGGATCTTGTGGATTGGTGGAGTATTAGGCCCTGGTGCCTGATATCTGTACTTGCTAGAAAGTAACAAAGCACAGGTTACCAAATTTTCCAGATGCCAGAACCATGTCAGAACACAAGATCACATACAGCTGCTGTCTCCCCCCATTTGTACCAGCTTAGAAGACAATCTATTTTCTCTCCTTTGGAAGACACAGTAGAGGCTAACTCATGGAGGTCCCAGGTAAGCACCACTTTATGCATTAGGTAGACCAGACCCAGGGAGGCCCAAGTCTTTGCTTTTTCATATTGTGTTTACCTCCCCAGGTAAATTAAGGTAGAAAAACTTACCATTTATAGGGTAGATAACACAGGAAAGCCATTACAGCCTTTTGCTTCTTTGATTCAAGAGCACAAATCCTGATTTGATTAAGATGTCAGCAAATGAAAAGCTACATTTGCATACCAATTAACAATCTCCAAAAAATTGAAAATTCCTGATATTCTGATCATTTAAAAATATATTATTTTAAGGCCAGCCGAGTGGCGCATTGGTTAAGAGCTGGCTTGGGACACCAGAGGGCCCCGGTTTGGATCCCACATATGAGGGCCAGTGACACTGCCATCTACAGCTAAGATGCTGAACAACAGCTCAACCTGGAGCTGGGATGCCGTGAGTCGCCGGGGACTGCGTAGGCTACAGCCCCTGCTGCAGTGGGTAGCCATGGGCTACCGTGTGTAGCCAGCAGCCAGCGTGAGCGGCCAGCAGCCACAGTGAGCAGCCGTCTAGAAGCCGGCGACTGATTTGCCTCGCCCGGGAAGAGCGCAATGATGGTGCCAACTTGGGCCAGTGAAGCAACGTCCTCCACAACTAGACTGAAGAACAAAACGACAGCAACTTGTCTGTTCCCCTTCCAATTCCCCAGCGCTGTTCCCATCCCTCAATTCCCCAATAAAATCTTTAAAAAAATAAAAATAAATAAAAATAAATAAATAAATAAATATTATTTTAGAGACTTCCATTAAGTATTGCTGCTGAAATCTGTTACTCGCTTCTAAAAATGCTGGGTCATATACTCTCTCAGGTTACCTCCCCAAATTATCTCATGCAACTATGAAAGCCATTATAAATGTCAAAGGATTTGCTTCTGAAAGAACAAGATTACAAAGACAAAAATCTGTTCCGATGTAAATGAGAGCAGTCTCTGAGCACCTAAGGCTACTTGCTTTGGGTGGCCACATTTAAATGAGTTTTTTTGTCAGAAATCTTTTCATAACCAGGTATTAGACCCAATTTTGGATGATATGAATGACAGACTGGCTTTGGAAAAAGTGTGCTGAAGTTAGCAATAGTTATTTCAGGGTTTCTTAGTCCATTATTTCTCAACTCACACAAGTTTATGTCTGTTACATTTAACATGTTTAGTTATGTTTAGGGCAAAATAACCCCTGGTAAATTCACTCATTTAGTCAACAATATTGAAAGAAAATCTACTTTACTCATTGTACTGATGAATAAGACATGATTCTTGCCTTATAACATATAACTTAGTAGAGACTATTATTATACAGTAGGCTGTGCGCTCTAAGGTCTGGGTTTGGGTCTGTTTCAATTGCTATTGGGTTGTCGGAAAAGTCATGACGCATTTTTGCAATGAAAAACAGAGAAAAAATACGTCATGACTTTTCTGACAACCCAATACTTTATATGGGATAACACAGTGTCTGTCTCATGGTGGGAGCTCAATAAATATTGGTAGAATGTATAAATGTATGAACAAATATGTACATGATACTACCTTTCTAATACAAGTCAAGCGTGCATTACAATCTTTGACAATCTTATTTCATTTGTTGATTAAAACTTCATAAACATTTCAATATCAGCCATCAATAATTCAGATTTTAGCAGGGCCCATATGAAAAGTTGATTTTAATTTTTACCTCTTATAATCAGTCTGCGGTCTTGATGAAGATTAAGAGAACTGACTGAGGGAAAACGGAGGACATAAGAAAAAACATATTTAAATCAGCATTATGAAGTTTTACTTAGAGGTTTTATTTCAAATGGGTTATTCTGAAGGTTAGAACAAAGTGTGTAGTTTTTTTTTTGAGGGGGGAGCAAATGCTAATTCAAAAAATAGGAAGAAAAGCTACATTACCATGTTATTTACAATATGGTTTTTCTCTCTATTCTAAAATTTTTCCATCTCTTTTTTCAGACTTAAAAGAACACAGTTGCCAACTACTTCATTATACATATGTAGAAGAAAAGAAAGATAAGACAAAAATCCTAGAAATTAGAAAATCTAATTCTTGTCTGGATTCTAAACACTATTTGTGTGGCCTTGGATAAATTTGAGCTTCATTTTCTCATCTGCAAAATAAAGGGCATTGGACTGAATGATTTCTAATCCATCTTCCAGTTTGGATATCTTATGATTTCATCTGACAGGCAAACTCTCCCCTTTGTCATCCTTTTTATATATGGAATGCTCAATCTTCTCTAGATTTTGGGGTTGTTGTTTTTTTAATTAATTACCACAGATGTTTAAAATAAAATAGCTCTCTCTATACAGAATGTCTACCTAATTATTTTTTTTAGGTAGTCATGGTACCACTGAAAAACTAAAAAATATCCAAATGATGATATATAAGAAGAAAATACTACTCTATAATCCCACCATTGAGGGATAAACATTAACATTTTGAGTTATAATCTTCTAATATTACTTTTGTGCCCACACTTTTGTGCATCTGTACTTTAAAAATAAAATTGTGATCACTTAGTACTTAAGTGTTTTGAAACCTGCATTCTTTAACAATACATCATAAACATTTCCCCATACTTTTCTAAAGCATGATTGTTTTTCAAGGCTGCATTTATAATCCATCATCTAGAAACCTCACCAAAAAAATTACCTATTGTTGTTAGACATCTAGGTTATTTATAGTCTTTATTATAAGTAACACTACAGTGAACAAGCTTGTACAAGAACATCTGATGATTTCCTAAGGATAAATTCTCATAACTAGAATTACTTCTACAAGCAATGTATGAGGCTGCTGGTTTCCAGACACCCTTGAGGGTTATAAAACTGGTTTTATAACTTAAAGAAATCTTTGCTAACATGCCACATAAAAATCTCTTGAGGTTCTGTACTTTGTAATTTAGAAAACCCTTGTCAATATCCAACGTTTGATTATTACTGAATATTTTCCTATATTTTGCTTCAGTCGTTTGCACTTTTTTGGTTAAATTTCTATCCCATTCCTTTGCCCATTTTCCCACTTGTTCACCACTTTTCTTTTTGAGACACCTCAAATGCCTCATTATATTTGATGGGGTAGATTTTACAAGGGACCCTGCAGGTTTAGGGAGATTCAGTTGTTTCTGAAGATCAAAATCGCCATGCCATAATTATGGTCCCAGGCACAATTAATGCCCTTTCTTTTACAGTTTTCCTTTGGCCTATCCACGAATCATTTTTTACTTTGTTCTACTTTTTAAATCCTAAACCTACCAGTAAAACATTTTAGGGCTCTGTTCTGAGGCACCTTTTCCATCAACATTTTAATAATGAAATATTTTTATAAGATACTAAGACTTCATAATTTTTATGCATTGAAACATTAATAAATCTTAAACATTGGTAGGTTAATATTAGATAAATTGGAAAAACATGAAAACGCAGGTACTCAATTTTTACATGTACAACCAACTAGAGTACATGTACCAAAATTATGGCAGAACAAAGGATTTACATTTAGATATGTCCCTACAACTTGATTCATCAGATTTTGTGGGTGGACTAGATAAAAAGGTAAATACCTCGGAAATGGCTGTCTTCATTAGA